ACGAGCTGGGAGAACATCCGTTCACCAGGGCACCCCAAGGGAAGACAAGGTTTAATGGTCACAAACTCCAGGAAGACCATTTTAGCTTGGACGTAAGAAAAAACGTCTTTACCGTCGAGCCCCCAGAGTCTGGAACAGACTCCCCCCAGAAGTGGTGCAAGCATCTACTCTGGACACACTTGGACACTTATCTTGCTGGGATCATTTGACCCCCGCTGACTTCCTGCCTCTTGGGTGGGGGGCTGGACCCGATGATCTTACAAGGTCCCTTCCAGCCCTAATGTCTATGAATGCTTCCAGGTGAATCACAACGTGGGCTGTCAAACGCTTACTTAAAATCTGTGACATTTATGGGGCATGGGTTTGCCCTTTAATTCTCTCTCAAGTTACTTCTTCAGGTGAAAACCTGGCCAGCGTATAACCTTTTATGTTGAAATCCATTTGCTCTTCCCTTAGATCAACCGCTCTCTTTGGGCTGTCGAACTGCTGAAGACTTTTCTGACAGTGAAGGGAAGAGAAGACCTGGGTAGTTCTTGCAGTGACTTTTCTTTGACTCCAGTGCCATTTCTCCATTGGGCTGGAAGCTTTTCTGAAGTGTTTCATGATTTTAGAGTAGCATGGGAGTAGCTGAAGTAAAGGAGAGGGGCTGAGCACATCTGTATTCTGTGCCTGGTTCCACCACGGATACGGCAAGCTCTGCAGGCCACTTCCCCTCCTGTATCCCTCAGCTCCTGCATCCATCCAAAAGCCTGGGGTAATTGTGAGCCTTAGACAATGCAGGTGAAACTTTCTGAGATCCTCCAAGGAGGTGCCCTGCAGGCACAGAGCACTCACCTTCTGGTTAATGCATTGCACGCACACACACAAAAAATCAAGCTCCGTACTTGCTAACAAACGCTTGCACTAGTCTTGGCATCCTGCTAGGCTTTCACCCGTAAGCTATAGCACATAGTCTTTCCACTGAGGCTCTCTGCTGGGTCTCCGGGGGGAGGATGGGGGTAAGACAGCATGCACAACAAAGCTTCACCTGTTGCATTAGATGAAAAACCTGAACCAACAACCCCTGGCAGCCCAGGCCACCCCCCACAATGGGTAGTGAGGCTCACTGGTTTAGCTCCATTTGCTGTCCCCAGCTGGAGAGGAGTTTGCAGCTGCTTTCCAGTGCTGGAACTCCCCACGTCCCATGTGGACTTTCTCTGGGACTCCTGTGCCAGGATCAGTACTGGCCAGACCTGCAATGAATCTGCCCCACAAACTTGTTCTGACTGTGTCTCTGCTTCCCTGCTCCCAGGGGTTAGGTGCAACCTAGCGGAGCTGTAGCCGTGAGCATGCTTAGCCAGGAGCAGAAGGGCAGAAACAATACAGAGAAAGGTGCTCCTCACTTTGAATATGATTTCCCTGCTTCTTTTAGCAACATCCTCTCTCCTGAATGAAGCCAAGCGTGAGCAACAATTCCCTCTTCGTATGTCTTTTGTATCTATTCCGATTTCCTATTGAAATTCCTATGTAAAGAGACTATCCAAGTATAGAGCTGAAAATTTCTTCTTAAAATAAGCCAGATGTCCAACCTGACATGAGCTGCCAAGTCCAAAGAGTTCAAGAAAGATGTTAAAATATGTCTTCCTGGCTGTGAAAGACTAATTGCACAGCATAGGTGACAATCCTAGTCTCCGAGGAGAAGGGATCAAACTGCTCGGGGCGAAAACCCTGCTGCTATTTGTCTAAGGAGTGGAGCTGGCAGTGTCTGTGGAAAAAGTCTCGTGGCCTGCCCTCCTTGCTGGTTAGCAGCTGCAGAGGCAGACACACACACACAGAAGGTAGGTAAAGGACTCTAACGCTGTGCCTGAAAATATTAATGTGCCTTAAAAGAAAAGGCTATTCTTGGTAGGAGCGTTGGTAGATACAGAGTGCTCCCTGGGACAGACGCACACGCATGCACAGGATTACGGCCCAATACTCTGTGATCTCAGATGAGCGATTTCAACTCTGTGGTGATGTCTGTCCAGTGAACGTTGCCCCAGAGGCAGCGCCGTGAAGCATGCTGCACTGGTGTGGGCAGACTGCCTTCTGTACGTGGCAGCCCTATCCTGGGGAGGCGGAGAGTTAGCACTGCTGAGCGCTAAGATCTGCTCGGTTGCAAATAGAGGTCATCCTAGTTGCACCATCGCTTTTGTTATGGCAGCACAAAACACGAGCAAACAGATATCCTTGCACCTTGTCATGCCCCAAAAATGCGCAAAAATGTGAGTGCAGCCATTCCTATTAGTAGTTTGTGCCTGGCTACCCAAGGCCAGGTCTGTGGTCATGCCAGGTCTGCACGCCATGTGCCGCTTTATGGCAGAGGACGTCTGTTTGGTTACGGCGCAGCCCCGACAGCCCACGGCTGCCCTCTCCAGTTGCCCCAGGCAGGCCATTCCAGGTTGCCTGTTTCATGCTGCAGAGCAAGGGCATGCCACAGGGTCCCCCTCTTCACACTTGTACCCCAGGTCAGGGCCAGGCACCCAGGGCTCATCCTAATGGTCTTTGTTGCATTGTATTAAAACATGAAAGAATTCTCCATTTGAATCCGCACGGACACATTCCTGAGCTCCAAGAATACAAAAGGATTGGCCGTGTGTTACTACCTACCTCCAAGTGAGGAAAAGATGAATGGTTTTATAAAATATCACGCAAAAACAGAGAGCCAACCAAGTCTGAGAAAACCTTTGCTGTTTGAGCAATCTGTTTGCCCGTAAGAGCCGCACAGTTGTTATGAAGGGACAAGGTCTGACGCTTGTCCAACAGCTCCTCCTTGGAACAGCTAGTTATTGAACGCACAAGAGAAAGAGCTGCAAGTCCTCTGTATTATGGAGAAGTTGGTACAAAAAGGAACTGTAGTTGAGCCAATAATAGTGACTGCAGTACAATATAACTAAGTTTAATATCCCTGGGGAAGGGAAGGTACCAGAAATGAATACATTTGACTCATTTGAACTTGTAGAACGGAGCATTTAAAAGAAAAGAAGCTATTGAAAAAGTCCCCAGAGCCAGTCGTACACGTGGCACGGAGCGGTATTCGAATCCGGAAAGGCATGCATCGCTCTGAGCAGAAAGGGAGCAGGAAAGCCAGCAATATGCCCACCTGGCTCAGTGGCAAGATCCTAGAAGTTATTTGAGCCAAACAGAGAGATCCTTCAGAAAACAGAAACACAGCCCCAGAGTACTCAGTTAAACAAGAGTAGAAAATACGGCAGGCAGCATGGAAGGAGGAAATTAGGAGGCTGAAATGGAATTTGAAAAGCAAATAACTGAAGCGAGGACCTAACAGCGCCTTTTGTGAGGGAGTGAGACGCAGGAAACCGATTTGAGAATCGGTGGGTCCACTGGACCACCATTTGTTAATGGGAGCAATTAATGAAGATAACAACATTGCTAAGAATATAAATGATTCTTGGCATGAGGCTTCACCACAGAGGATGTTTTGTAGAGACCTACACCAGACCTCCGCTTTCCTGGAAACGAGCAGGAGGAGAGCTCGTAGTACCCATGCGGTGAGCAGTTCTGAAGGACTGCTCCACTGTGCCTATTTTCCCTGGCCCAAATCATGTGAAGCCTGGTTGCATCTGGCCTTTTACTGTCCCACAAGTGCAAGAATCCATCCCTCCAAAACCTCCTTCCACTGCTTTTACACGGGCCAGGCTCTGCTCCTTGCACCGTATGTTTGCTGAGCAGAAGTAGCTGAGGTTTCCAGCCAAACCAATAAGACCGTGGGTCTTCTCTGCTTTCCTACAACACACAAAAGAGCTTTCCGAGGTCACAGCAGCCGCAGGACTCCCACACCACTTATGTGTCACGCACACCTCCTCCTGAAGCTCCCCAGGGCCGTTGCAGCCCAGCAACCCCGCTGCTTGCTGGCTCAAACCACCAGATTAGCCCTGGATGTTACATTGGCCTGTCGAGAAGCTCCTCTGCCCGCAGTGTCTGAGCACTAGAGCATCCCACCTGGGCTGAACTCGGCTTCTGATTTTCTTACACGGTGGGTTGGGATCCGTAAGGAGCCGTTGCTCCGCTCCCCGCTTGCTTGTGTGTGGCACGAGCAGAAGTCGGAATCCCGCCAAAGTCTCGCAACACGTCGTTTCGTTATTTTAAGTACACGGTTCTTTGATTAACTCCAGCTGGCGTGCTTCCCTCGGCTCGCCGAGCGCGCTTTATTAAAACGGAGCTGCGTGCAAGTGGGACATTGTAAATCAGGAGCGACAGGGCAGAGGGAGGAAGGGGCAGGTGGGAACTCCAAGTGGACGACAACCAAGAAAGCGCATAAATAGAGCTGTCCTCTTGGCAAAGCTAAGCCCCACGTCATGGAGAACAATTTCCAGTCGCTCCTTGGAGGGCAGGCCAGTGTCGGAGGGTTAGCAGGACTAGATGCAGCCGAACGCTTGGATACTTGAGGCTTTCTGCTGTGAATTGGAAGATGGTCTCCCCTATTTCCCCCGTGGTCACCATACATTTGGAGGGCTAGAATTGCCCACCTCTGCAATAGGTTCTTGTTTGAGGTTATCCCACCACCTGCAAAGACACATTGGGTAGGGGTCACCTTGGCAGCAGGTTCTCCCAAGAGCCTGGTCTCCTGGGGTTGCACAGTGGAGCTCCACACAGCACAGAGGTGCAGGCAGCATCAGGCCATATGCATTTTCCAAGAATGCCCCTGTGCGCTGTGAGCTGCTTCAGGAGGGGCGCTGAGCTTCCTGGATTCCTCCAATCTTTAGAGAGACCTCATAGGATGTGGCGCTGTGGGTAAACGGTGCTACAGAGACGGTCCTCCTTGCTGCCAGGTAGCCAGATGCCCCTCTCCACATCCCGGAGACTCCAAAGCCTGGAGACACGCACGGCAGCTGCAGGTCGGCCTGTCTCGGGCGCTGGGGTCTGCTGCCAGTCCCCAGTGCCGTCCTGGAGTATTTTGGCTTGGGTGTCTTTGCAATCAGCTGCAGCGTGACTCACTGAAGTGTCCTTCTCTCCTCCAGTGCTCCTCCACCTGTGGAAAAGGCCTCCAGTCACGCGTGGTGCAGTGCATGCACAAAGTCACCGGCCGCCACGGCAATGAGTGCCCGGTCCTGTCCAAGCCAGCAGCCTACAGGCAGTGCCATCAAGAAGCCTGCAACGAGAAGATAAATGTCAACACAATTACCTCGCCCCGACTTGGTAAGTGGGAGATGGTTCTTGTGGGAAAAGGCAAAATGATCAGCCCTGAACACTACAGTATATCTCCAGCCTGGGTATCTAGGAATATGTTGTACCTGTGCTGAATTTTGTATGGGGCCCTGGGCTTGGGCAGTGTCCAACTCTGAGAAACCGATGGTCTCGAGTGGGCAGAGCCATCCTGCCTTAGATCCACCCCGTGGCACAACTCATTCCCTGGGAGAGTTGTTGGAGCCAACGGTAGGCCACAGAGAAGGGGTCCATGACAGGTGAGATGTGGTCAGCAGAGACTTTTAGTGAATTTTATCATGTTTTTGGTTGCCCGGAGAAATAAAATAGAAAAGTTGTGCAAATGTTTCCAGGCAGCAGAAAACCTTCTCACCTGCCCTTCGCTGTACGTGAAAATGAATATACCAATGAGATTTGATTCCACTGTCTCCAAAAAAACAGAGAGGACCTTGGCAGGTTGAGTGTTACAGGTTTCTGGAAAGATTGTGCTTTTCCCTAGAAGAATGAACGCTATGTAAATCAGGAGCTGTTTCAAGTGTGGGACATCTCTCTTTAGACAGCAGCAGGGAAAGAGGTTGGAGAGTCTTCAGCTTAATCTCTTCTGCCCTCCCACGTCTGCCCCTGAATTATCTGCCACTTGCTATCATTTACCACATGAGCTGAAGCTGCTGGTGACAAACTGCTTTCCAAATTACCGTAATTCTTTTACTGTGGTTCTACCCCAGAGGTGACCCAGTAGTTATGATGCTGAGAGAGGGGTCTGCGTTTATCATCCCTGTCAAAGGGTGCAGGTTGTAGCCGTGTTGGTCTACGGACATAGGCATTTGGGTGAATCTGATATCTTCTGTTAGACCAACTTAAATACTGTAGTTGGAAAACATTTTCTTAGCAAGCTTTTGGGTTTAAAACCCTTTTTTAAACCCGAAAGCTTGCTAAGAAAATGTTTTCCAACTGTTTAAGTTGATCTGATAACAGATATCAGATGGCTTCATCCCTGTCAAATGCACTTGATTTGTAAGACACAAAAAGAGATCATTTTCTACACCTTCCAGCCCCTTCCAGTCAACCTGAGGTCTGAGATCCAGGCTGATTTCTCATACTTTTCACTTTATCATCAGGCCAAATTAGGCCATTAGTTACATTGATGAGCTGAAGGTGCCTTTCTTTTCCCTGGGTGTTGGTTATAGCTGTGTTGGTCTAAGGACATAGGCAGGCACAGTTCTTTGGGTAGATGTGATATCTTTTATTAGACCAACTGAGTAGCTGGAAAAAATACTCAGAAAATACTCAGCGTCTGGAATAGAAGACTCTTCCCTATGCTTGAAGAAGGATGTTTGTGCCTGAAAGGTTGTAAAGAACAATTTTTTTCCAATTACTTAGTTGGTCTAATAAAAAATATCACATTTACCCAAAGAACCTTGTCTTTCTTTTTCTTTGTCCTCAGTATAACTGCTTGAAACTCAGAGAGAGCTGCCAGCAGGGACAGAATCTAACGTGCGATCCCTTCGCTGTGCAGGCTCACAGACGTCAGATGCCCCTACCATCAGCTGATCTGAGTCTGCGTATACCCGCTGTAGTCAGCACTGTTGAATATAAAGGAGCCATTCTTCCATAGTCACTTTTTAGAGTAGGACTGCTATCTAAGCAGGATTAGACTTGAGGTTTCTGGCCTAGGATTTGTTTCCCTAAAGTCAATAATATTTCTAATAGCTCTTTAGAACAGGATGGGCTAATTTTTTTTTTGTAGTGACACCCATGTAATTGAGAGGAGAATTTAGTCCAGCTGAAGAGCTTTAAAAAGCTTTTAAATCCTTTTGTTTAGAACATCTGAGAATATTTCCCAAGCATTTTAGTGCTCAGAGCATAGCGAAGGGGGAAAAAAATTGGTTTGAGAAGCTTTAGATGCAGTGATGAAACAAGAAAGCCATTCTAATGTCCACTTTAGCACAATGCAATAAAAAGCTCAAGTGTTTAATAGACTGGTGCAATTCAAGGCCCTCCTGACTGCAATCTGCTTATGGCTCTAAACCAGTCTGAAATCATCCGTGCCCAAAGTGATATTTGATATGAACAAAAATAGACACCTCTCTCAAGCACGGAGGATTTTACTCTCCTTCTGGATGCAGTAGTGAGCATGTTTGCTTTCATCCAGAATTTTGTTTTCCACAATGCAAGGTTCATGGGAAAACTGCTGCAGAAAAGTACCTTAGTAGTCTCCAGAAATAATCCAAAATGCTGCCTTCGGGCTGTAGCATCGTTGACTCTGGGTCACATTTTTTTTAAGTGCCCCATTGGCTCATGCCCATGCCCCATTATCGAAGGTGACGGGGATTTAGGAGCCTCCACCTCACTGACTTCCAGTGGAGCTTAAGTAGCATTTGAAAATGGCCTGTAGGCCCCTAAATCCCCTAGGGCAGGAGTAGCCAGCCTGGGGCACGGGCAGCCTGTGTATGTGGCACATGGCAGATCGGGGGGACCACTGAATGCAATGCCAGATAGAGCAGGTAGCATAAAGCAGAGCAACAGAGTAGCAGGGAGCACAGGGCAGGAAGCAGAAAGCAGAGCAGCAGGTCGGGCAGGGGAAGGGGATCAGAGTGGCCCTTGGAGAGGGTGTGGAGCTTACCTTGTAGCAGAGATGCCAAAAAAGTTAGCCCCCGCTGACTTAGGGGATGTCTATTCAGGAGATGCAGATACACCTGAGCTAGCTTTAAACTGGTGAGTGTGGGTACTGGTGGGAATGTGGGTGCCACAAAAAGCCTTTCACTCCAGCCAGAATCCTGTGGCCCTTGTTTTTCACTGCTCATGAATCTGGCTTTTCCTACACACATACATTTGTTTGAACCTTTTCCCACCTCTGCCTGGTCTGGGGTTCCCCATTGCAACGTGCTTGGCTCATTCCACTGGAGTATCTGGTACCGGCCTTGGTTAGAAAGCTGTGATTCAGAAAATCCCCGGGGTCTGCGGGGGGGACAGCCTGTCTGCTTCAAGCTAAGCACAGGCGTGATGCACTTTGCCGAACAGGGGCCAAAGGACGGGCACCAGCACAGCTGGGCCACTGGTGTAATGACATTCCTTATGTCTCCAGACTGTTTTTGCAGTGATCTCTCTTGCCTTTGTCTTTATTAGACAAGTCACAGTCCCATTGCCCAAATCTCCTTAGCAGCAACCCAATAAAAAAGCATATCGCCCCCCCGCCCCGGTATTGACTCTCATGCTGCTGGCATTATGTTGCTCAGACCTGCAGTGCTGTTCTCACCTAACGTGCCGGCTTCCTCTCTCTATTTGTATCCCAAGCTGCTCTCACGTATAAGTGTACAGGGGACCAGTGGACGGTGTACTGCAGGGTGATCCGCGAGAAGAACCTGTGCCAGGACATGAGGTGGTATCAACGCTGTTGCCAGACTTGCAGAGACTTTTATGCAAACAAGATGCAGCAGAAGAGTTAATGAATCGGTGGTACTTCTTAGGGTATTACAGCTGTGTGTATGTAAATCATGGACTAGTAGGTCTGAGTACTGGAACTTAATGAATTGCTACAGTGCGGTGGATTCCAAAGCATACCTAATAAGACTTGAAACTAATTCTGCAGACTGGATGTACCAAAGTAATCCACTCCTCCACCTTACAAACACGAACAAAGAGTCATCTCAAGGAGCCAATCATGTAGAATGATATTGTGTTTGGCAGCATCACCTTCTTCATTCATGCTTTTTACTTTAATATATTAATTACTAGCCACTGGATGGCTTGCTACCGTTAAAAAAAGGACAAGAGTTGCAAAGTGATTGAACTGACCAAGGTTGTGTGCGCCTCAGTCAGGGGGAAGCCTCTGGCAAATAATTTAGCAAAGGTATAGACATTACTTAATGCTTCAGTCTTGGCTTCCCTTCCAGCTGATGTTCTTAATTCCCAACAGTTACGGTGCTATGGGGTGGGCTCGGAGAGACACACATAAATGAAATGCTTAATTTAACAAAGGGGATTTGCTATAAAAGCTTGTGAAAACTGATAGCAGAGGATGGGCGTCTCTGAGATTTCTGCAGCAAGCTCAGTGCTATTGTATCCAACACTCCAGTTAGTAGACTTTTTTCTTTAAGCAATCATACTAATGGGGGATTTTTTATCCTCTCCAGTTCTGGACGCACATCTTCTCTCTCTCTGTCTCCCTCCCTCCCTCTGTGTCTCATTCTCAAAATGCATTTTCTTTCCTGGCCCATTTCTTCCATTTCTCTGAGCTTAAAAGAGACTAGAAACTTATTAACCCGGCATCAAAAAGTGAGAAACATCTGGGAGTAGCCAGAAACCATTTTCACTCGTAGGGTTTATTGGGGCGCACTCTCTTGTTTCATCTCCTCTTTCCAACCGTTAGAAATCAATCCGATAAGGAGGCCGAATGTCGTTTCTTAAGGGCACTGTGAAACTGTGTTAGGATGTATCAGAAGTAGAGACTGGGACAATATTTGCATGGAGTTACACTAGAAACCCAAAACAGGTCTTTCCCACCTGTGGGCTCTGCATCGTTGTTATGTTATAAAGCCTTTGGGAGACAAATATAAGAGGCAGCAGTTAGCAAGTACGTGGACTGAAATCCCATCTTACTGAAAGCCAACACTTGTGTGGCCTTCACGTGGGCCAAGAGTTTGCTCTTTGTGTCTAAATGCTTCTTGTTTCATCTGGGGTGTTATTGGGCTTGTCTTATCAGGGCAGCTGGCAAGTGCTGTGTAAATAATCCTTGACACATCTCAGTTCTTCCCTGAGATGCAAGATAGGAACAGGAGCTGCCAACAAGGCAGCATTTGTCCCTCTCATGTGTCTTTGCAGATCAGTGCATCTCTGTAAGTCAGACCTGGACCCTGTCCCCTGCCAGGCCGCGTGGCCACCTGTGTTGTGCTTAGTTACACTCTTGCTCACTGTGCTATTAACACAAATTTTGCATGAATTACAGCTTTGTGCTTGCTCTAGCCCCCTACATTCATATTTACTTACTTGGAGATTCAAGCACAGTTCTCATCACAAACACTGGGGAAGCCTGGGTCCAGATATCAATGTTGTGACCCTCCACCTCTCTTTCCTGATGTCATTTGTATTATTATTATCGCTACTATTTCCTTGCATTAATGTGATGAGAGATGCCCTTGGCAACCAACATTTTTAAAACCGCTTTTTCTCCCAGGTTCAGGGTCTTTCAGTATCCAGGATATAATTGAGACCTCTTGTTACCACTTGGAGCTAAACTTTCTAAATGGGAACCTCACATTCACCTGCACACTGGTAACCACGCGTGCATCCTCAGTCACCCAGGCAAAACGTGTACTTGCTTGTGCAGACGGGCACTTGTGCGCAGAAGTGCTGATCTGCATGCATAAAGCCATACTTGCATGCACAGCAACCTCTCAGCAGGCACTCGGTGCTAACAAACCTACTTGCCCCATTTCTGTGTCAGGGAAATGATTCAGTCTTGTTAGAGCAGACACTCCTCTTGCCGCAGTTACAGTCAGAATCAAACCTTCCCATTGGACATTCACCCTCAGGCCTAAGTTCAGCGGTGGCATAGATGGGCGTATGAAGGGTCTGTCCACACCACTGCAGGCAAGGTGTCCCAGCCAGGACTTCGCTGGCATGGCAGTCCCACTTGCTCCCACTCTTCTCCTCTAGGCCCAGAAATGCACCAGCAAGGCTGCTCCCGGGTTATCCCAGCAGCTGCTCTCGGGCACACCAGAGACTGAGGTCTCAAAAGTGAAGATGCCCTGGGGCACCGGCATATTTCCAGGTTGGGAGCAGGTGGGAGTGGGGAGATGTCAGCTGGGGCGCTCAGCCACTGAGGTGTGGACCTGCTCTATGTTACCCATTGCTCTAAGAAGCAATCATCAAAGGATGAAGCTGATGCTTGAGGCAAAAGATGTAGCAGAAAGCTACAACGATGGCCTAAAAAACTGCTCACCGTACAGACAGTCTAGCCTATCATTACATGTAAATTATATTCCATTACGCCGACCAGCCGGCACGCATCCCTTGGGCCGCCATTTATTTCACCTCCTGTCTTAGCCACCGTTTGCAAAGGGATTTGTGTCCTTGTTAGGTTATTTTTTTTTAGGGTAATCCTTCAGCTCATGCTGTGGCATTGCGCTATGAGATGCTGCACCCTGGCGCTCCGTTTTTGGGATGCCAGCGTTGCAAGTGATACTTGTCATAGCCTTTTCCATAAGACCGTTCTGTTCTCTTCCCAATGCTACAGAATGGGTTTCTGAAGCAGTGGGAGCGTTTTCACCTCATCAGCACGCTCCGCGGGCGGTGGAGCGACTCACCCTCGGTTCAGAGTGCTTTTTGAGTCCAGCCCAAGTTTGCATCTATCAAACGGGACGTGAGTGCGCCGCTGTAACATAGAGATTTCTTTTGAATGTCTGAGCACTGAAAACAGTGTCGCGGCTCTGGAAAGGTTCGTAGGCTAATTTGTGCCTTTTTTTTTTTTTAAGCAGAACCCCTCATCGTGTACAAATGGATGGCATAACAAGATGGACCCAATTGGTTAAATTTTCTCGTTTGATCTCCTGATGAGCCTAAATCCCCTTCCGTTTTACAATGGCCAAAAACTTTGACAAATATATTCAATTCTGGTCAAAACCCCTGCACTTCTGCTTTGTACCGTTTCGTAGGAGCTTTGACTATGAATCTACAGCGATGCCCTGTCCCCAGTTACTACATACCAGTGAAAAGAAAGCTGGTTCAGCATAGCTATGCCAATCCTTTTTTTTTATTCGGTGGTTGTTCACAAGAGATTGATGCTCTTTGATTACAATGGTGGTGTTTCCATATTGTAACCAATACTCTCTGTACTGTTTCTAAAGTACTGTACATTACTAGTTGCACAATTGTGTTATTGAGTGTAGATTCTCACTATCTTATGTATGGTGCTATTTTTTTTTTATTGGTGAAAAAAGAATCTTAGCAGTCAATTATTGCTTGATATTTTATTATAATACAGGGATATATCCTCCATGGCAATCATATCATTTAAGTTTTTCATTACAAAGTGAAATGTATATATTTTTCCATTAGTTAATTTACATATGTACTGTATCCATGATAATATTTTTTTTTTTTTTTTTTTTTGGTGCTGGCTATAAATAGAAAAAAAGAAAAAAAAAGAAACAGTCAAACTAAATGGAACCAGTTGTAAATTCAAACCAAAACAGGATCATTCCATTTTGGCACAGATTGAATATGTTTAATAATAAATTTATTTTTCCATAGCAATTTTAATAAGGGTTTTGAACTTGAAAACAAGCCCACACAAAGCAAACCAAACAGCTAACTGTGAAAATAAAGAAGAAATAGTGAGGCCATGAGCAATACATTATGCATCTGTCTAATACTTGACTGAGACTTGGATTCAAATGAATCCAGGGCCCAACATTGACAGCTGTGGTAGGTGGAAGAGGTCATTTGTCAGTAAAATATTGGCAGCTCAGAGTTCCCAGTGTGCTAACAAATCAAGAGGTGATGGGTCTTGTCCCTGTGCGGTTGCAGAATAAAGTACAGGGAATGTTAATATTTAGCTAAGGCCAAATGCGCTCTCTGGTCAATGAGACACAAAAGCAGAAAATGCCGGCGTGGAAAAAAATGACCTTGTCTCCATTTGGGATCTGCCGTGTGGGCCTTACAAGGCGGCTGGGAACCAAAAGCTTTTTGCACGGGGGAAGGAAATTGTACAAGTGGATTTCAGAGAGCAGTTTCTTGTGATGTGCGTTGAAGTCCGGGTGAAGCAGCAGCCTTGCTGGACGGTCATGGGTAGCTGCTGCACGGCTTATAAATGAGAGTTGCTGAGCATGTGGAAATTATATTGGAGTAAAAACTATCCTGCCCATTTGAAAGGTATCTGCGTAACTTAGCTGGACACTTTGTTGGTGTGAAATAAACCGAATTACTTCAATGCTGAGCGTTTCTCGGCTGTGTTTGTTGTAGGTGCAATGCTTTTTAACAGAAGAAAGTCATGAGCCCACCAAGTATGCACAATAAAACCTATCGCACATGTTGCTACAAGGAACCAAAGTCCTTGGGCCAAACTCTTTTCTTCTAGACACTGGGGGTTTCCCAAGCAGCCCCTTGCAGCTCTTCAGTTTGCAAGGCTGATTTTTTGTTTCTGTGACTATTAATATTTATTCTTTACAGTCTGTGAGCCGACCAGAGCCTTCTGCATTCATGGGTTTTTGAGGCCGGAAGTGATCCATAAATCGTTGGGTTTCACCTTCTGTGTATCCCAGGCCATAGCGCTACACCCAGTTACCTTCATATTAAGCCCCCAAAGCTTAGTTTTATGAGAGCGTTATCTTCCCAAGAGGAATGGATTTGAAGATGTCAAGAGACGGAGAATCCACCACCGCTCTTGGTTGCCCGGGTCCAGTGGTCAGTCGCCCTCACGGCTTAACTAACTGGACCCTGGCATTTGAATTTGCCTTGCTTCAATGTCTAGCCGTTGGTTCTTCTGGGGCCTGTCTCCACTACACCAGCAACTTCTTCAATGCCCGCTGCTGTTTCCCCAGGAAAGTCCTTGTGAACCTCAAGTCACCACTTAGTTATTTTTCTCCTTTTTTGATAAGATAGAGCGCGTACCCTAAGGTAAGCACCAACAGCTCTGTTTCTCCTCAACCTCTTGACCATAGCATCAATTAAATTCACACCCCCCACCCCAAGGCACCCCACAACACGATGGCATTGAGTGGTGCTTGGTTATATCAACGATTTATTAGAAGCAATGTTTGGTATATTTTGGAAGTTGAAAACCTGACCTGCGAAATATTGGGAGTTTGGTCCCCCGGCTTCACGTAGAAATGTGTTGATGTACCACGAACTAAGCACGGCCTGTGGGCTCCAGGACACCTGGATCCTATTCCTCCCTGGGTGTTTCCTGGCAAATCACTTGCCATTTGTGTAAGTGCTCCTACAATAGATGTTGGATCCTGAGCTAAGGGGTTTTGCTAAGAGTAATTAGTAACGTTTGATAAATGTTTAACAGCTGCAGAGCACTATTACTATCCATGTCCTAAGGGCCTTGTTTGGGTGAGAGACTCGTTCAGACCAAGATGATGAAAAGGAGACCAACTACCCAGAGAAGATGTAGATGCCTTCAGACGTGGGATAACCTTAACTGAAGGCCTGGCACTGGCAGAGACATCCGGCAATAGCGATACTGGTATAAGAAGAAGTCACCGTCTGGTCCAGGGAGACTCCAGCATGGTCAAAAGTTGGTAGAGAGTAAATGGTGGAAGGCAGCTGTGCTTTTGCCCCAGCTGGGTGCAGTTGTTTTACAGATAGAAGAAAATGAGGAAGGCATATAGAGAAGTTAAGAAGGACTCAGTTGCTCAAATGGCCACTAGATCTTTTCTTTCTCAGGTTGGATTTCACCCATCTGTGCCTGGAGCCTCCCGCATGCAGACGCACACCCCAATTATTTTTTGTCTTCTCATGGCCCCAAAGACAATAGCAGCTTCTCTTCTTGATTTGCAAACATACATATCTTCTCCAGCAGGGAGGTGCTGCAGCTTGAAGTACTTCGCTACTAAAATACGCAACGAAAAAATGTGCAGTTACTGTGACAACTGTGCAGTTATTATGACAGCACAGCTGAATGTCTAGCATTTCAGTCTGCACTTATGAAATCATAGCAGATTTAGCCTCCTAATTGTCCTCCTCGTTTGCTCGCTCCAAATTGCTCTCTCCCTAATGGTGTTTCCCTCTTATTAAGCTTCCTGCTTTCAGAAATACCCTTGGCGTGAAATGCCGCCTCTGTAAAACAGCAGTGAAATTCTAGAAAGTCTGTCCAAACGTTGCTATAGATTAATACATCATCAGGATCGCACGTTGTGCAGAGTCAACATGTGATAGCAATTGGAGGGATATGGCAAAAGGTGGGAGAGCGTAATGAATGCTGTCATAGGTTTGGCTTGAGACGCTTGTGGTATTTGCCAATCTCTCTCCTATAAATCCAATAGGCTTATGTGCTTAATTCGCCTCTTTGCATGTAACAGCCTTTGCTGTTTCTCGTCCCTGCTCCCCTCGGATGATTTGAAACCAGCTTCTCTCGTTGTTGTCTCAGTTTTCCTCGGCCGAGCTTGCCGGGGGCAGGTGGAGCCAGCCCGCTGCAACGCTCTGCTCTAACGGGGCCCGGCGTGAAGCATATAATCTCTCAGCGGCTGGGAGCTCAGCTCTCCCTCCTCAGCTTTCACCTGCTTCCTCCCCTCACTTGCGAGTCCTGATGCACTTTGTCAGCTTTAGCTTTCTCTGGAGCACTCTCAGCTGCTCCGCTTGCCCCTGGTTCACGGAGCGGTTGCTCTGGAAGGGAATTCCTTTCCCTTAAGCTCGATATGGAACACCTTCTCCTCATTTCAGTCCCGCGCGCCAGCAAGCACGGACCCAGCCCTGACCCTCTCTCCACAGGTGAAATAAGGATTGCTCTTTCCTTCGGGTCACGCACCAACACAACGGGGTCCTTTAGGCGTCTTCCCTTTTCCTTAGAGTCTGTGGGCACCCCTGCATGTGCCAGCAGGGCACAGATGCCCTTGTAGATGAGTTGGTGTATGTAACAGGTAGTCTCTCGCCACGTCTGTGAAGACAGAAAAGGAGTATTTCTGTACCCCAGCTTCTGCCCTCTCTTTGAAACTCTGCAGTTGCCTTGTCTAGCCCTTGGGAGCTCATCTCAGACACCTTTGCAATTTGCCCACTCCAAGGAAAGTACCTTTTTCCCTAAACCCGGTGTTAACCATGGTCTTGCCGAGTAGGAAATCTGAAAGCAAGATGAAATGTTAGGGCTAGGATACCTGATTGTTTTAATAGCTTGCACCATTACTGTCTTTTATGCCTGAGTGCACAGAGCTAGAGCATTGCATTTAATTCACCGTTGCTGTAGGGACTCTGCTGGTCTTTGATTCACCTCGTCTACATTGCAATTAATTCACCGTTGCAGTAGAGACTCTGCTGGTCTTTGATTCACCTTGTCTACATTGCAATTAATTCACCGTTGCTGTAGGGACTCTGCTGGTCTTTGATTCACCTCGTCTACATTGCAATTAATTCACCGTTGCTGTAGGGACTCTGCTGGTCTTTGATTCACCTCGTCTACATTGCAATTAATTCACCGTTGCTGTAGGGACTCTGCTGGTCTTTGATTCACCTCGTCCACATTGCAATTAATTCACCGTTGCTGTACAGACTCTGCTGGTTTTTAATTCACCTTGTTTACATTGCAATTAATTCACCGTTGCTTTAGAGACTCTGCTGGTCTTCTGTCAAGCCTAGAGTCAAATAAGGGTCATCTCGCTCTCCATGCTCCTGGCCAAAGAGTTTGGCTGTAGGAGCTGTGAATGGACAGCTTGTAGATCCTAGCACTCCTCCCAGATGCATAGATATCTCTTGCTTCCCTCCATCTAGGGTTCAGACCCACTGGTCGTTCTTGAGGATATCGTTCCACGCAAGGTTTGCTTCTGAGGAGAGAGGATACCTGTGGATGTTAAAAATATCCAGAAGCTGATAACATTTTCTACATGCCTCTGTTTTGTCCCATCTAACACTGTCCTTACATTTATCCACCAGTTCACCTCTCCAGAAACACGTGTGTCATCTGAGAGGAGCTGAATGCCACTGGGACTCGATCCAGCTCTAGCAATCGATGGCAGTTAGATGCCTACGTGCCTCCATGAGTAGTTGCACAGGATGTCAGGATAGTCTTCCAGGTTTTCGTGCATCGTGATGCATTGCATTTGGTTACCCCATCTCAAGCGTTGAAGTCTAGGTTGCTGAAAGAAAGAACACCCATTTTCTAAGGGTTTCTTCTGCCTTCAAAATCAATCTGTCCATGTCAAGCAGTATTCCTGGTCAGCTACATGCTCTCCCCGGCAGGAAGGGTGGGGGGAACGCTGCTGATTTTAAATCATCCTGAACCCAGTGGAACAACAAACTCATGCAAAGTTTGCCTCGGGATCAAACGCGAGTGCCTTTGCGCTCTCGCAAGAGTGACTGTGACATACAGAATGGCAGCAAGAAACAGGCAAGTGATTCAATCAATGCACTGGAGAAGACGAATGCTTGGGACTTGCAAAGCACTTTCCATTTGGGATCGC